CAGCAGGAGAGCCACTCCTTTGGAGCTGGTGGTTAGCAGACTAAGACGGGGCTGGAGAGCACCTTGGCCCAGTTATCAAGCACAGAGGGTCAGGCCAGGTCTCAGGACCCTCACTAGTAGCTGCACGTATGTGACGATCCTAAGAACAGGAAACAGCAGCAAATACTCTTAATAGTTCTCATGATTCTCATCTATTAGTTAAAGCAGGTGCCTAAAGGTTCCCACTAGGCGATACTCAGTCAGCCTAGTTTCCACGGGCACTTCAAAGAAAGAAAACTCTATTTTTCCCATGATTTGGATGGCTCACTCTTCTAATTTGCCTGAATTGTTGATATTTGTAGTGTTTCAGCCTAAAAAAGGAGACAGCTTCTTTGCTGCTGCTGTTTTCTCCTCTCTTTTTTTAAATATTGGTAGATGGAAGGAGTTATATGCAGTTGTGGGGGAAGGAGAGATAACCCTGGGGTCAGGAGATGGTAAGAAATAACCTCCTTTTCCATGGCCAAGAATCCCCCAAGAGAAGCAGCAAGTAACCCAACACTATACTCTACTCACTTGTTTCCTTGACACTGATAGAGTGTCTCCACCTCTCGAAATACCCTACTTCGACTGTGCCCTGCTTGTTTTTCGATGATCTGTAGAAAAAATAAAATCTGTCATATACATCCACTTGACTTCAAAACACCCCTTAGCAGGAGCCCTCTGGGAGAACGGAAGGCCAAATTTAGCCCAAATCAGTTTCAAGCACAGTCTAGAGTAGGCTTTAGTGACAGGCACTGTGGTTCTGTCGGCAAAGCTACAGACTGGCTTGAGCGCTTTCCAACCTGGCTGGGCCTGTGTGACTCTGGCCAAGCACAATACCATAGAAGCCTCTGAGGCTGCTGTCCCTAGCTGTCCAGGGGAGACTGAGGCATCCAGCAAGACAAAGAGTTGTCTCCCAGCTCCTACTCTGAGGGCATTTCTTTCTGTCTTTAGAGTAAGAATTATAAGCTCTACTAAAGGATCTTCTAGTGCTGGAGGAAGAGCAAGAGGGACGAAGGACACAGTAGAGAGGAACTAAAGCTCTGCAGCCCAGCTTAGATGCCACCTCTGAAGTTCTTCTGAGAATTTATCCTTTGGAAAATACTGTATTAAGTCACTTAGGTAAATAATCTCAGTTAACCCTTACAACACAACCCCAAAAGACAGGAAGAGGTAAAACATTTTGCCCATAGCTCTGATAGGTGGCAGGGCTGACTCTCAAGCCCAGAGCTGCCTCTGAAACCCCTGCTATCCTATACCTGCCTATATCGTATATGGCTTCTCTTAGAGAACCTAAAATGCCTTGTCTCTCCTACAATACTGTAGGCTGCTCTCCTTCCCCACCCTGAGATGCTTGGCAAGTACTGAGTGAAGAAATGGGTGAGCCAACAGATGAGCAGGTGATTTATGCAGGGACTGACTAGTTCTGAACAGCTCTATGGACCCATTCAGAGCCTCAAACTGTTGCAAGTAGAGCCTGTGAGCAAGTCTTCTACAGAGCTGGCTCTGCTTTACAGTTCTATGTGCAGAGTGGGCAGCAGATGGTGATATCCTGTCCCTTCATTCCAAGAAGACTATGTAGAATGCTTCCAACTTCTCCAGTATGTTGCAGCACAAACACCCATGACCAATGTAATTTTCTAAATAAGTCCACATCTGTTAATAAACCACTAGACCCGTTTTCTGAGTAGTCAGTGAGGGGCAGTGCTGGGCCACAGAAGCTATTCACTTCGTTCGTTCACCAAGCATTTCAGATAAGTCAGGAAGAACTTTCTAGCAGGCAAGCTATCTAGCAATGGTATAATTTTCTCCAAGGAGGTAATGGGCTCCTGCTACTAGAGATGGGGGAACTGAACATGGACAACTATTTGAGGAGTTGCAGAGAAAATTCAGGACTATATTATCTTGAAATTCCATTTTTCACTCTGAGACTCTATTACA